CCATGGGGGGGAAGGGGGGTTGGGGCGTCGCACCCTGTCACACACAGAGCAGGGCCGATCAGGGAGTTGGTGCGCCGCATCCTGTCAAACACAGAGCCGCAGGGTGATCAGGGGATTGGGGAGCTCCCTCCTATCAGGCACAGAGCAGGGCTGATCAGGGGGTTGGGACGCCTTCCCCTGTCACGAACAGAGCAGGGCGGATAGGGAGGTTGTGGCCCCACCCTCTGTCACACACAGAGCCCCAGGGTGATCAAGGGGTTTGGGCACTACCCCTTGTCACGCTGATCCCAGTGCCTGGAGCCTCGCTGCTCTGCTGATCCCGGTGCCGGGAGGCATATTACCCTTTTACTATATATAATAGAGGCCTGGTGCATGGGTGGGGGCCAGCTGGTTTGTCCTGAAGGGTGTCCTGGATCAGGGTTGGGGTCCCCACTAGGGTGCCTGGCCAGTCTGGGTGAGGGGCTGAGGGCCGTTTTCAGGCTGGCGGGTGACTGAAGCTCCCAACCGCTCCTTTTTTTCTTTTTTTTTTCTTTTTTATTCTGCGCCAGCTTTAGCTCTGAGGCCTCCCTGTTGAAAGCAGGTTTCTGGCCTTTACCTTCTGTATTTGATACAATGTTGCGGTCCGGCTGGCTGAAGCCTGGCTGACTGAAAGCCGGTTTCTGGGGTTTTGTTTAGCTTCTATATTTGCAACATAGTTGCTTAGAGTTGCAGCTGAGAGGCTGGCAAGTGAGGCGGGGAACGTTGGAGTCTGCAGTCACTGGAGCAAGCAAGTCTCCCTGTTCGCTTCAGTGCATGGCTGCCGGCTGCCATCTTGGCTGACAGTTAATTTGCATAAGGATATGCTGATTAGCCAATGGGAAGGGTAGCGGTCGTACGCTAATTACCATGTTTCTCTTTTATTAGTGTAGATTTTTCTGACATTATATTAGACTATGGCAATCTATAGATGATAAAGACCTGATGGTCCCTGGCCTTGAGGAACTCACTGTAGAGGACTGGAGTACACAGAGTCAACAAAGTGTTTATTCCTTGGTAACTGCTAAGAGGTGGGGCCAGAGCATCCCAGGGAAGTTTTAGAATAGTCATCAAACTAGCACACCAGCAGTAGTTGTTAGTATGGGTTCTATTGTGCACTTGTTTGCATGTTTGTTTTTCAAGACTAGAAACACTCAGCATGTCTGACCAAAAAGAGGACTCGGTGGAAACAGGGAATGGGTCTAATCCAGTGGTTCTCAACCTTCCTAATTCCGAGACCCTTTAATATAGTTCCTCATGTTGTGGTGACCCCCCAACCATAAAATTATTTTTATTGCTACTTCATATCTATAATTTTGCTACTGTTATGAATTGTAATGTAAATATCTGATATGCAGGATGTATTTTTATTGTTACAAATAGAACATAATTAAAGCATAGTGATTAATCGCAAAAACAATATGTAATTATATATGTGTTTTCCGATGATCTTAGACAACCCCTGTGAAAGGGTCATTCGACCCCCAAAGGGGTCGCAACCCACAGGTTGAGAACCGCTGGTCTAATCTGAATTAGGCAGTTTTCACTTAGTTGGTCACTGCTGCTAATTTGTCTGATGAAGCAGGCTGGTGCTAGCCTCTACTGCTTTACAGATGATTGTATCTACTCTTTAAGAGGGTAGCTAAAGAATTTTGGGTCAAATTGCACTACCCTTTCCAAAGGTAGAATTTCAATGAAGCAACTGAAAATGCCAGGAGTGAAGCATGGTGCAACATCCTGAGAGTCAGGCCAGAGAACCTGGCCTGGGAAAGGAGCCAGAATCATTTGGTCAGTTAGAAAGCAATGCAGAGGCAAATACTGTAAAGGAGAAGGGGAGCCTCCAAGACAGCCAGACTTAATGACCACCCCTCTTGTTTTACAAAGAATTTTGTGAGAATGAGGTGAATTAGAAATGGGACCAGAGGCTGACATGTATAAAGAATATATGGAAATTGGGATCTATAGCATTATTTTTGTAAATGAAGAATATCTTTTAATCACCTTATATCCGTACAATAATCTCTGAGAAGAAAGTGTTATCATCATCATCATCATCACAATGATAAAGGCTAATATAAAAAATACAGGAAATGAGTGTCCTATCCAATTTGTTGAGCGAAGGGAAGTGTAACAAAGCTGTAGACCAGCCCCTTACCTCCATCCCTATGCTCTCTCCAGGGAGAAAACTGCACAATCATTTGTATTCTAGACATTAAGGGATGAAAACAAGCACAACCACAAACCAACCAACCAACCAACCCACTGCCAACCACACCCAATAACCAACCAACCAGACAAACACGCAGTCCTTGGTGGGGAAAGGACCAATTCCATTTCTGCACCATACCTGGCAGCCAGGAGTTCACCCAGAAACATTTCAATCCTATGAACTTCGTTTTTCTTCTCAGGAATGTGCTGTTTACTCTCTCCTGAGTTTTCTGAGCTTAACCTCTCATTCATTTCCTGGATCCATAAATTCAGTTTTCTGTGCTGGTCCTCAAAGCTAAAGAGAAGAAAAACACCATAGAGAAATTCTTAGGTTATCATTATAATAAATACATTCTAATAGCTGAGGTCACAATGTCTACAACAATCACGTTTTCATGAATTTTCAAGGAGAAGAAAACTCAACAATAAGCTCATTCAAACGATCGCTTATTTCAGTAACAAAATGGCAAATCATGAAAATTTCTCTTGCAATCCGGGCAGAAATGAATCACCCTATCAAACTGAATTGATTACCTGGTAATCATAGGTGGTAATTACCAGCAAGATTACATTCCCCTGCAACATACACTTGACTTTTTGGGTTTTACTAGAGACCCTGAATTGGGGTCCATGGATAAGGGAGGCTGTGGAAGCCCTGTGAGAAAAAGGGGAAGTCCTCTCTGTGTCTTTGTATCCTATGGGATATTGATATGGCACCAGAGCGCAAGGGCTCTATGTTTTGAAAACAGTGTAAATTCTCTGAGAAACCTGGATAAGAGTCAGGCAAATTACTCCACTACCAGAAAGGCATTTTGATTATACTGACATAGTTTTCCCCCTAGTAACAAGGTTCCCCCCGCCCTTTCTTATTCTATATTCACCCATGTTGACCTAGCTTCCTGATTGGACTATTGACTCACATAAATACAGGTGTTTCTGCCATGACTCCAACCCAGCAGAAGTAGACTCAAGAAAAAGACTTGGATAATATAAAACCTGGATGCCAAAGCTCTAATATCTTGAGTTAGTCAAACAGATAAAAAAAAATGTATGAATTCAGTTACTAGTGAGTATAATTCCTTTATTTTCTGTGTAGAAAATCAAACCACATGATGCCATCATAGTTCGAGCAGTCAGTTATTGTCCCAGTATGAATCTGTAATTAAGGTCAAAGCTTTACATTTAAACTCACAATTTCAAAGATTTGCTTATTCTCAATGGCTTTTTTTCCACTAAGTCCCTGAAGGCATTCTGTACAGGATGAAATCTACCTGTATCAAAACAACCTACCTCCCAAGTTCCAGAGCGCAGTCTTGAAGAGCCTGCTTGTCTTTGAGGCATTGTCTCAGAAATGCTTGAAATTCCTCGTTTGCCTTGGTAATCTGCTCCTGAATGCTACTGACCATTTGTTTAGGCAAATGTGCATACAACGTTTGTCCTTCCTGAGTCACGGCATCAAGCTTGCGCTGCCCATCACCGACCGAGTCCAAAATGGTCTGTTTCAGGAAATGAAAGTAATATAAACATTTGCTATCGTTCAGAGACCCTGGTGCCTGGGAGCACTAATTACAACTCTGAGCTGAGCTAGTAGAGCGAGAGCAGAAAAACAAGGGCCAAAGGAAGACAGCCGTTGACAAGGCTGGAGTAAGAATGATGTTTGCAACTGGAGATAATTGAGGCTCATCCCTGAGGACGGGCCAGCCAGGCATTGGAACCACTGAGGACCCACTGGGAACAATGCCAACCTGGGAAGGAGGATGTCTTGTCCTCAGTCTCTCCCCTTTCTCACTGCCCCAACCTAGTGCAGGCTCCACCTCCTCATGGTTAGTGTGATGTCTTCTAACTGGTTAGCTGCCTCTATCCCTCCTCCTCCTCTGATCCGCCCTGCACACCATATCCTGACTTGGGTTCCCTTCTTTGCTTGGTGTGCACCTCTTCTTGGGAAGACCATATGCACGGGCATTGGCTTTGGCAGAGCAAAAGAACCCAGAACTGCTGTGCTAGTCCTGCCTCGTCCCTGAGTTCCAGACTTTTCTCTGTGGAGTTTCACTGCATCTCAGGCCTTAAAGGGGACAATTCCCATCTGCAGTCACCCTGCCTCCTGCGAAACTAGCTTCCTGTATGATGACACTCTTCTAACTCTGACAGCGAATGAGTTATCTACATAATTGTCATCACCCATTAGGCCACAAAATCCGCATGTTTCCATTAATTTTTAAAAAATTATTTTTACAATATTTAATACAATGCTTTGCTCAGATTCGCTACTTAAAAAACAAAGCCAAAACTCAGTATGAATCTAGTCTTGCATCAATTATTTTTTAACTCTGCTTCACAATGGCCTTCTCTTTCCTGACTTCATACATTTTTTCCTAGTGAGTAAAACCTATACAATCTATAATATCTATTGCTTTGATTTGAGTATTTATAAGTCCCAAATTTAGACCACAGGTTGTTAAAAAGCACACATGATGTCAGTGGTGTCTTCTTTTTAAAACTCCTCCATGATAGTAACGTGAAATAGATATCACTGTTTATGCTTTCAGTGCTATAGAAATTAAAATTAGGTTTAGTTTAGAGTGAATTCCAAATAGTTAATAGGCTAAAAGAGAGGGGAAGGGGATCTAGAAATTCTACAGCTCTAACTTGATTTTTCAGCTTACTTTTCATATTGCTTATCTCCTTATCACTCAAGAAATCTAATTCTGATAAGGAAAAATAAACCTTTGAATAAGATTAAAAGATTTGGAAAGAGGTGATTTAGGTCTGACCCAATGGCACTGAGTGTAGTTTGGGGAAGAAGAAAAGGCAATACCAGTGTTCGTACCTGAAGGTCGCGAAGCTTCGCCTCTAGAACTTTGCTGTCACCAGTTCTGTCTGATGATTTTTTTGCTGCTGCTTTTATTCCAGAAAACCATTCTTGGAACTCCTTCATGGACTCTTTGGAAAAGAACATGAATGAGAAATGCATCCAAAACATTGAATGAGCTACCATGAATTAATTCTGGCCTTCAGCCCATTGCATTGTGCCTTACAAAACATTCCAGAAGGAAGATCATAATAATCTAGAATCTGACATATACGACACAGCATGATCTACAGCCATGCCTGTTCACAGTAGAATCAAGAAATTGTCTCAGAGGAAAGACTGTAAAGAGATTCACTTTCCTTCAATGTCCGATTTCCCCTTACGTCTCTTTATTTTGGTAAAGAAATAATTAGTTGCCTGACTCTGGAAGAGTGCAAGGGGAGAAATACTTTAGGGGTGCTAAAGCCATTTTTGTGGCACAAGGAGCAACCTTCTCCTCTTTCCGCCAAGCTGACTTGAGCGCTGTCATTATGTGTCCACGTCAGAGCACAGGCAGCCGTGTGGGAAACTGACTCCGGCACATCCATAGGACGGGCACTTTCCTGAATTACATGCTGCTGCTGCTTCATGCTCTCTCCTAATACCCAGGTTGCCTATCACTCCTTCCTAGCAGTGGCAGTAATTTCCACACGCATGCGCTATATGTGGAAAATCTAGATGCAATTCCGAATCATCAGAACGGCAGACTCCTACCTCCCGGAGGAGAAAGGGAGAATGTTGCTTATGGTGAGGGCACACGCATGACACTTCCACTGCCCAAAGCTCAATGCCCAAGTGAATTTAACTTGATATTCTTCCGGAAAGTTTTGCAAACGTTTGCTGGCAGTTTCTACACAGCATTTGGTTCGGATTCCTTCTTGTAAACAGACTATTCATGCACAGGCCTGTGGGAGCTCACCATGGAAGTGTTTCTCCAGAGAATCCTGGAGGCTGGCCTGTGTCCTGGAGCACAGCTGGCTGGCGGCTTCGTGCTTCTTGGTCAGGCCCGTCATTGCCCCGCCCAGGCGCTCCAGCTCCGCCGAATGGTACTTGCGGCACAAGCTATTGAGGTTTTCTTGGGTGGAGCTGATGCTGCTTTGCTGACTTTGAAGTTCTTTCTGCATTTCCTAGAGAATAAAAGTGTGCCATGGAGGATGGTTATCAGATGCAAGAGAAATATTCCATCTACTCCACGATGGCACTTCCTCTGGAAACGGATGCTATCAAAATCCACTCAGTAATGTATACATTTGTGTGGGATTGTTTTTTGAATATTTGTGATATCTCTGTGTTGATTCTTGGAGAATGTTGCCCAGTTCTCCTTGGGAACAACTGCAAACAGCTGTTGAGAGGTCGCTAGGATTTGAGTGAGAATCTAGCATTTTAAGCAAATTGAATTGATCCTTGTGGATTCCAGCCATGAGCTTGGGTTTAATCAGTTGATTAGAAACTACAAATGCAATCACCCTCCTAAGTTCACATTCTTCAGTGGGCCACAGGGGTCACAGGCCACAAAAAAAGGCACAAGTACTTAATTTAAAAATATACTTCCTTAGTCTCAAGAACAGCAAAACAATAATATGCTGAAAAAGAACATCATTTTTTGTTGAAAACTCAACTCAACTCATAAGCTTGATAGAGAGTTGATCAGAAATGTCATCTATGAAAATAAACATACTGACATAAAAGTGAGATGTTTTCTCAATTAAAAAAATACATCTTTCTCTAGGTAAAAGTAGTCATACTAACCAATAAAAATGATAAGTGAGGAAAAACTATTTGGCATTCAAGTCTGAAAATTCCTGGACAAACACTTCTATAGATGTCACCCCCTTAATAATAATAATAATAATAATAATAATAATAATAATAAATAGCAGCCTGTGAGCAGGCCCTACAGCAATGCATGCTTTCTGTTTTCAGATTACTCATTTTCCTTTCTGTTCTTTACCCATTACTTACTTTGCTGAGTCTTGTGTTAATATGGGTGATTGAGAGCAGAGGTTAAGGCTCGAGTCTAGCCACCACAAAGCAGGAGAACTAATATTCCCACTGAAGTATAACCAGTTAATGAGAGCTGGTTACCTACCTTTACTTTCTTCAGTCCTTCACAAGTCTCAGTTTGGGCGCAGTTCACCAGGGACTCTTCTAGTTTCGCCAGCCAGGTTGTTATGTCGTTAATAAATTTCTCCACTTGTGTGCTCTGAGCCCTGAAATCTTTCAAGGTCCCTTTTGCGTCTTCGGTAATTTCTTTGGCGTGCTCCAGTTTCTGCCTTAGGTCCGCTTCTATAAACTAAACATAAAACATAAAGCAGGATTTCATCAAAATCTGTGAAAACCAGACACTCCTTTACTGGGAATTCCGTGGATGTGTAGCTTAATCATAAAAACCAAACCAAACCACATAAGCGTAACCATGGATGTTCATCCAATTTTTCTAAGATGGAAAATCAGTGTGCACACGTTGCCAAACATTTTAAGTAATGAAGTGATCGGCAAATGGAAAGAGTAAGGCTTACAGTTAACATGAAACTCGAAAGTGGCAGTTTGGCTGAGGTTCCAGGGGATACACACAATCACATCTCAAAAACAGCCGGACTCACACCGGGTTACCAAGCTGGTGACCGAAACCTGCTCCTCATTCTCCCTGGGAAGCACTCACACATTTTGTCCTGATGTGACCACTACTTTGGACAAGCGCCCCCCCACCCCGCCCCCATCATAGGATTTCATCCTAAAGCACTTTCCTTTCTGTCTCCCACTCTAAGTATTCGGGGAGGCTGGTTCTCTGCTCTGGGTGGTTTATTTCAGGAGGGCCTTGATTTCTCTGGACCACAGATAAAAAAGGGACTTAAGATAAACCGCAAACAGTTTCAATTCTACAACAAAAACATCCAGGACCATTTAATAATCAAGACTTTGAACTCAAATCGAACTTAAAGTTAAGGGCCTTTTCTTGCCCCCGCTTAGATCTGCCGCAAACAGGAAGCCCACAGTGGAGAAAGGGGCAAGTGCCGCTTTTTGTCTCTTTTCACTTTATTTCTATTCCCCACCTCACAGGCCTAGGCAAGCAGGAGGAGAGGAGGGAACTGGCATCTACGTTTTCTAAGCCTGGTGACATTCCCATTCTCTCCTCTCACAGGCCTTGATCTGTGGGTTTTTCTGAGACTCCCCTGGCTTCTGTGACCGCCCGGTGAAGGGCCCTAGATGCAAGCAATGCACCTTTCTCTGGCTTTTCACTTTCTCCGTCCGCAGCCTGTGGGCATCTCGTAACTTCTTGCCTCCGGGGCCTTCCATTCCCCCAGAAGGCTTTCTTCGATGACCTGAGCGCTCTCCTTTCTTTTTCTCTTATGATTCACCTCTGGGCCGGAGGTCACACTCTGCCATTCACCCCAGATGACAAAAAGTTGCAGGCCACTCAAAACAATCAAAACATACGCACTTTAATGTGGGGAGCCGGCACGGCCATGGCATACTCAGCCCCAGGGCGCCTTATGTGCCATGCCAGCTCAGCCTGGTTCAGTGACCCTGAGTGGGGGGTGAAAGGATTGAGAAAAGACAGACAAGAGAATGAAAGCTGGGTCTCGGTGGGACGCTGCTCCCTGATGAGGAGACAGCGCCAGCACCCACAAGCCATGTCTTTATTTTATAGAGGCAAAGTAGGGGTGTGATCACGTTGTTTACAGCATTCTCGTGAGTTTCATCCCCACTCAACTACATGCACCTGAACTCTATCACAAGGCACCTGGGGCCACGTGTTCGGACCATGGGTTCAAGCTTACAACCACAGCCATTGGCTATGATTGTGCTGGGAGGGCCCTGCCCTCCAGCTGGGACTTGCACGTGGCAATGAGAGGACCCTGTCCTTTCATTAGTCCGAGGCTTGAACCTGGCCAAAACACTGTAGCTGCGCCTTATACTTTAATATACAAATACTTAGAGCAGGGGTCCTCAAACTACGGCCCACGGGCCACATGCAAATACAAATATTGTATTTGTTCCCGTTTTGTTTTTTTATTTCAAAATAAGATATGTGCAGTGTGCATAGGAATTTGTTCATAGTTTTTTTTTAAACTATAGTCCGGCCCTCCAACGGTCTGAGGGACAGTGAACTGGCGCCCTGTTTAGAAAGTTTGAGGACCCCTGACTTAGAGAATAGAAATACTCTTTGAGATGGAGAGTCTAGCAGGTAGCAGTTATTACAGAACTGACTGAGTGCTTACCTGAAGGTCTGATGGAGTTTCTGGATTTTTCGTTAATTCTTTTAGGTCATTCACTTTAGCATGAAGGTCTTCCAGTTTCAATGCGTTGTTTCTAACTTCAGACTGTCAAGTATAAGACAAAGGGGAAAAGCATGACTAATCCAAACATTCACATGTTATATCTGGCATTTCATAATTTCAAGAGTTAACTGTCAAAATGCCCCAACATTAAGCTAGGGTAAAAAAAAATTCTTTTTCATTTTTTGATCATTGTCATTAGTTAGGAATATGGAAAAATGTCACCATTTACTTGCACTTGGGATGTGAGGGAGTGTGCGGAACTTTCTTTCTTCCCACTCTCTCTTATTGGGGAAGAAAAATGCTCCTGGAAAAAATTAACCACTAACCAAAAGTCTTGAGTCAGTGGGGAATTTTAACAACTAACTGCCATTTATTCATTAGCATTGATATCACTGGTTACCATGGCAACATTAAACTCTTGAGGAAGCACTGCCAAGCCAGTACACATTGGAAGTGCCTAATAACAGCTGGCTATCTGTAACACACAAGAAACCTTTCAAATAAACATTTAAACGATGTGAAAACAGAAGTCAGGTTAATTAGAAGATTGATGTCTAATATCATGCCTTATTGTTTTGTTTGTTTTTTTTGTTGTTTTTTTTTTTGCACCAACACTAACATAAAAAGGAAGAAAGGATAAATAACCAAAGAATTGTTACTGAACAAATTAGACATTTATAAACATCATTAGTCATTGGGGCCCACAAAAGGATAGTTAAATATCGTGCTTTGGTGCTTTGTGGACACTAACAAACCTCCCGGTGCCTTCAATCCAGAAGGTAATTTACTTACCCAGTAAGATGTGATGAACTATCTGCCAGGCCCACTGGCCTTTTCCAGAAACCGGCTGGACAATGAAGGCATCACACCCACACGCCCACCTCATTTCCTGCTCTGCAGCAGCATGACATTCTCAGGCACGGGGCTGAGTCCAGCTCTCTGAGTTTATGAGCTGGTGTGCCACAGTCAGCCACAGAAAAGCCATCTCTGTGAGTGACTGCACTGAACCTATGAACATAGGGCTGATGCCCGCTGGCTCCCTGAACCCCAGAGTAGACTGTATGCAGGTTTAACGACTGGCTCTCCAAGAGAAGGCCCTGATTTGTAGCCTCACCACCATTTAGAGTTACAACATGAGTCACGAACATGGTGCTGGAGGAGCTCCACAGCGGTGCACCATTCTGCAGTATTTCCACCAGAAAGACAGAGCGAATGTCAGCTCAAGATCCCAGGCAGCAGTCATAGGGGAATAATAGCCAGGAAGGTTTAACTTTTGAGTGTTCATTACCTTCATTTTAAAATAGATTTAATTTAATTGTAATTTACTTACATTGAAATTTTTAAAAATATATTTTTATTAATTTCAGAGGAAGGAAGAGGGAGAGATAGAAACATTAATGATGAGAGAGAATCATTGATCGGCTGCCTCTGCACACCCCCTACTGGGGGGCCGAGCCCACAACAAGTCATGTGCCCTGACTGGGAATGGAACTGTGACCTCCTGGTTCATAGGTTGATGCTCAACCACTGAGCCATGCTGGCCGGGCACAGTTAAATTTTTAATAATGGTTGTAATTAACACTGGCTCGCAAGATTTTTGAAAATATAATAATTGACTTTTGCAAGCAGGTACAAGCCTTATTCCAGCACATGCCACATACATTTTGAGCTGTAATGGTCATTTAACATCAAAGATAACTAAAGGGACTGTGGTGCCCTTCCCTGACTGTACCTTTAGTCTGAATACTCTCCTCTACTTCTGTTTGCCCTTAGGAATAGGAATAATCTCTTGAATGTTCTTTGGGTCAAACCCAGCTGAATAATTTAGGTAGGTAATACAGATGATTTTACTATATATTTTGCCAGACTATAGTAATTTATTCACACATCTGTCATACTCCACATCTATACCAGGCACAGTGCTGGGCACCCAAGCATACAATGGTCAACAGTCCCTCCCTCACCAAGAGTACAGTCACTTGTGTGCTTTGTGAAACCAGTTATCTCTTGTCACTCTATTTCCCTTCCCTTGCTTCAGTTTTCACCATAGCCCTATTACTGATTGTCATTGTGCATGTCATATATACTGTAATGGAAATAATGTAAATACCACGAGGGTAAAGACTTGGTGTGTTTCACTATTATATTTCCAGCCTGAAAACTGCCTGACATATTTTAGGTGCTCGTTAAGAATGTGATGAGTGAATGAATAAGTGAATGTGAAAAATGGGGATAAAAGGAGGTTAAAATAAATTAGTGACTGGAACTTTAAAAAGGCCACTTTCTGTGGAAGCCTGTGACACTCCCATCTCCATTTCCTTATGTTTCTGGAAAGGAAGTGGAGGAAACCAGCTCCTAGCGTAAGTGCTCGGTATAGGGTAACTACTCAGTAAACATTTTTTAAAAAATATATTTTATTGATTTTTTACAGAGAGGAAGGGAGAGGGATAGAGAGTTTGAAACATCGATCAGCTGCCTCCTGCACACCCACTCCTGGGGATGTGCCCGCAACTAAGGTACATGCCCTTGACTGGAATCGAACCTGGGACCCTTCAGTCCGTAGGCCGACGCTCTATCCACTGAGCCGGTTAGGACCTCAGTAAACATTTCATTTGAATGGAGAAAAAATAGATACTAAATATTACTGAATGACAATCACTTTCAATTTGGTTTTTCAGTAAGAAGATGCCATATTCCAGATGAATGGAAAAATTGTAGGTTTACTTTCAAATAAATAGCAAAAGATAGTTAAGATTGTTTATTATACTCCTGTGTGTCTCAAAGAGCAGCGTGGCTCAGTGGTTGGTTGAGCATCGACCTGTGAATCAGGAGGTCACGGTTCGATTCTGGTCAGGGCAGGTGTCCGGGTTGTGGGCTCTATCCCTGGTTGGGGCGTGTGGGAGGTGGCTGATCAGTGATTCTCTCTAATCATTGATATTTCTATCTCTCTCTCCCTCTCCCTTCCTCTCTGAAATCAATAAAGATATTTTTTTAAAAAAAAGAATGAACTTTTAAAAAAGGACACCAATATTTTCGTATTCTGGCCAATGCTACATCACCAGCTCCCATGTGAAGGTGTAGCTCACTTACCTCGAACTCCTTCAGGAACTCCTCTGTTCTGAGGCTGTTGTTCAGGTTGCTGATGCTCTCGGCCAGCTGAGGGACAGAACTGTTCGACCAGCCTTCGATCTCGTCCTTATTCGAGAGAATATCAGCCCAGAGGGACAGGCTTACCCTCAGCCGATCCATGTTTTCCTCGATTCTCTCTGACACCTGGAAGAGAAAATCAAAGTCAAATCATTAACAGTCTGAGGCTTTAAAAATTGCTCTTTGCCCCACCGAAGTACTAAAAATGTCAATCCTTCCTTAATCAGAAAATTGTAATCTGATCAGAAAGCCAAGTTTTACAAAAATTATTGTAAACTGACTAGTGCACTGAACTTAATCTATGTAAATGCTATTATATAAATTGTTTCTGTCACTGGGAGAGTTGGTTGAATTTCTAAAACATTTGACTTTTATTTGTAAATTGGAAAAGTAATCACAACAGGTCTACTGTAATATAACTCACTCTAAGGTTGAATTCTATAAGATAGGGGTCCATATAGGGCAGTATTATATTTATTTTTTAAAGTAATACAATAAGCCCTTTTATTTGTAATGATGATACATAAAAATGGGCATAATTAGGCTTGAACATATTTATAGAATAATATATAGAAGATTAACCAATTTTGCATGCTTATAGTATTATTGCTTAATATTCTTCCCATAATAAGAATATCATTTTAAAAGTGGAAGACTATAAGGTCTTCTGAAGTCCCCAGATTATTTGATTATAGTATGTAAATATTGATGTCTAACTTAAGTGCCTTAGCTTAAGTAAGGGAACCCACTATAGGTTTAAATTCTGAGCCTAGATATTGATAATAGAGGTCAACAGAATCACTGGATTTTTGGAGCTGGAAAACAGTGTAAAATATGCATGAACTGAGAGATAGAGTTCCAGAGGGATCAAGTAACCTGTCCTATGGTCACATAGCCAGTAAATGACAGAGCAGGAACTACAACCCAAGGATATAAACTACAAGGCCAATGTTTTCCAATGCTACAGCGTCTTCTTACTTTAAATGATTATACATTTTGGTTAATAGTCTGTAGGCTGTTTATACATTATTCTTTTATTTTTATTCATAATTCCAGAGTTTTGAGAAGGCAGATTATAAATTTGTTATGTTTGAAGCTGTCAAGTAAAATTCTAGAAAATTTGCCAATAACTTTTAACAAAATAAAGCAAATAGATTTTTTACTATTTCTAAAATTTATGTGAACACTACTTTCCTTTAGAATATTATATTTGCATTTAGCATTAAAAGTTAAAAATGGAATTTACATCTCTCAATAATCCTTTGCCCCAAAATGAGATTCAGAAATGTGAATATTTAAACTATTCATGGAACTCAAGGTGATGAGCTTACATCCAGCCATCTGTCCATAGTGCTCTCCATGTCTGTTTTCACCAAGATGAAATCACTACTGTGAATTTTTTTCAGCTCAGATAACAACTGCTTTCCTTTACTGGTAAAGTCATCCAATTCTTTGTGCTCCTTACACATTTCGTTCCTGGCAGTTTCATGCTGTGAACATAAATGTTTCCTTAATTAATAAAATCATCAATGCTAAGAGTTTAAAACCATTTGTCTCCAAGAAATTTAATTATTGGATGACCTGATGCAGAAACCAGGGATATTAATAAACTGTACAAATATATACTAATTTTCTTGAATTGCTAGAATCCTAGGATATCAGAACTCTTAAAAAAAAGTTGAGCTTATTAGCATGAATTATCTACATCTAACTGTACTGACAAGATTTGTATAGCGAATACATTGTGAGTAAAAAAAAAACAGGTTTAATAAAGTGGTCTACTAAAATAAATACATTTTGAATTACTACCTTGGATAAGGCCCATTTAAGATCCTCCTCATCCTTTATAGTAGTTCTGGTTGCAATCACACTGCTGGCATGTTCTAGAACTTTAGATACAGCTGACTTCAAGTTCTGATAATCTCTCATTAAGTCAATAAGCCCACAGCATTGGCCCTGGCTGCAATGATCAAAGAAAAGACATCATTTATTGTCAGGTATCAGGAAAGGGGAGAGTTCTCTATGGTTGGACCTGATGTATACACACATATTAATAGATGAAAGAGAAAGCCCTGTCTATACCTGCCAAGGTCAAAAGAGTGCTGGTAGATCTTACTTAACTCTAATGTCCCAAATATCCTCATGAATGAAGAATGCACACAGCCATTCAAATAAAATCTGTGACTTCACTAATAAGCAAAGATGCAATATATGTTCTGGATTACTCAAACTTATGTAGATATATTATTTTTTTAATGCATATAGATACCCATTGTTTCAGGACTATTCACTGAAAAGACTATTATTCTTTCTTCATCAAATTGCCTTTTTAAAAAATCAATTGAGCATATCTGAATATATTTAAAAGAGTGAATTTTACTTTATGTCAGTCATACCTCTGTTACAAACAACTATAACAAAACAGAATAAAAAGGAAATCAGGAGGTTAAGACTCTCATGGTCGCACTTAGTAACTTGACAACTGCATTTCAGCATTGAATTTCTCATGTAATTATTATCTCAGAGCAGCCTCCTTAGTCAAGTTCTGTAGGACTAAATTCTTATCATTACCGAAAGACACAGAATACTACAGATGGCAAAAGATATTCAATCTTGATCACACCCATGCAAATCACCAGGCATGGCCCAATGTCACAAAATAGGGAGAAGTTAAAAACCAAAAACTGAGAAGTTTCTGACTTACTTTTCATGAATTAGCTTTTTGGTATCATCCCAGGTGACCTCTAAGCGATTTATCTCTGTATCAACTTTAGGTGCAAAGGCTACATCTTTCTGAGCAATTTGCTTAGCTTTGTCTTTCAACCAACATAGCTCATGCTCATGAGAATTCAGTTCATCTTCTAACTGATTGAAGACTCTCAACCTGTGAATTAAAGTGTGGTTTTACTAAAGGTAGCAAACCAATATTTCCTCTCCATAAAGCACACATACTGAGAGCTAGAAAACTAGTAACAGAGCAATCAAATGGATGGCTGTCAACTGATAGAGATGCCTTTACAGTTAACTTTGCATACTTTAGAGTGTACTGCAGAAAACATTTAAAGTCAGTTTCATTATTCACCTTCAAACTTCTATTAAGTTTGTATTCTCTTCCTATTATCCTTTGATGGTATAAGACTTTTAAAACTAGGGCTGACCTTCTAGGCAAAGGAGGTGAGTTCTGATTGCAAGGTATTGATATAAAATTATTTTGTGCCATGAGGTCTAACTCATGTAAAATAATATTTTAGAATCATAGTTGTTTCATAAAATAAAAATAGTTTTACCAAGCTGTACTCTACATATCTACATATATAAAAGCCTAAGCAACTGCTTGACCATTTGACTGGTAGCTATGACATGCACTGACCAAGAGGGGGCAGATGCTCAATGCACAGGCATGGAAACATGGAACAGACTGATGAATCTCAGAGGGAAGGTGGGAGGAGGGAGGGCAGAAAGAAATTAACCAAAGATCTTATATGCATACTAGAGGCCCAGTGCACAGATTTATGCACCGGTGGGCTCCCTAGGCCTGGCCTGCACCTTCTCGAAATCTGGGACCCCTCGGGGGATGTTGGAGAGCCGGTTTCGGCCTTATCCCCACAAGCCCAATCCAGACAGGAGGGAGCCTGATTCCGGGGTGTGTCACCCAAGAACCATCCTCTTGCAATCAGAGACCCCTCAGGGGATGTTGGAGAGCCAATTTCAGTCCTATCACTGCAGGTTTGATCCCCACAGGCAAAGCTTATCCTTCCCAAGTCTTATTCCCTTTTGTAAGTTTATTGTTTTATATATATATACTAGAGGTCAGGTGCACAAAATTCATACACTGGGGGGTCCATCAGCCCGGCCTGTGCCCTCTTGCAGTCTGGGACCCCTCGGGGGATGTCTGCCTGCCGGCTTAGGCCCCCTCCCCATGGGGAGCGGGCCTAAGATGGCAGTCAAACATCCCTCTCGCAGTCCAGGACCCTTCACTCCTTACCACCTGCCTGCTCGCTGCTCCTTAGCACTGCCGCGGAGGCAGAAGAGGCTCCTACCACCACTGCTGCACTCGCCAGCCATGAGCCTGGCTTCTGGCTGAGCAGTGCTCCCCCTGTGGGAGCACACTGACCACCAGGGGGGCAGCTCCTACATTGAGCGTCTGCCCCCTGGTTGTCAGTGTGCATCATAGTGACCAGTCATTCTGGTTGTTCCACTGTAATGGTCACTTAGGCTTTTATTATATAGATTGTTATATATATATATATATATATATATATATATATATATATATATATATCCTAAATTACATGCTTTATTGAAGATTACCATGAGAAAATGTTCACTTTTTTGGTCTCTAATATATTGATAATTGAGTATTTGTGAAGAGTGGCCATGTAGAGGCAGCTATTGACTCTTTCATTCTTGCCTTTATATAGGCATTGTCTCATTTAATTCCCAAAACAAAGAGGCTAGGAGCAAACATTATCATTAACTCCATTTACAAGAAGGGAAGTGATTTGACCAAGGTCACACGGTGTAGCATATGTAGGGCTGAAATTTAATAAATCAATCAACTGCACCACTTCGGATCCTCTGTGTGACACTGGTGAGTTCAGTGTTGTGGGTATTAATATGTCTCTTGGGCCTTCTTCTCCAGCACATTTAGGACCTCCTGTTGCTGCCCTAAGCAGGCCTGAGAGGCCAGGCCGCCTGGTGGCACCAATCCTACTGCTATTTCCTGGGTGGGTCATTGGCTCTTTCCCTGATCATCCTGTCTTTGCTCTGGACGCTATTTTGTCCTTCCCAAGTCTTATTCCCTTTTGTAAGTTTATTGTTAAACCAGTCAGATAGTTTATTGCCCACAAGGCGTATAACTTCAGGAGCCATGAATCAATTGTTAATCAACGTTTGATTCTGATTAAAAGGAAACAAATTGGCAGGGTCAACATAATTCTTATCAATTAGGGATGCCTTGATATGAATGCCTTTCAACAACTGTCTGTTTGCCCCCTGAAAAATAAATGGAAAAGAAAGTGACCCTAAGAACATGAGTGGGAGACAGTTCTATCAAGAGGGCAAAATAGGATTGAAAAGAAGGCTACAGTATTAGCAATTTACACCTGGCAATCCCCCATCTTTGCTTTAACCCACTTCTATTCCTTCTTCACACCTCTAAGCAAACAGGTAATAGTAATAGGGAGAGCCTGGCCAGCATGGCTCAGTGGTTGAGCATTGAGCTATGAATCAGGAAGTCATGGTTTGATTCCCTGTCAGGGCACCTGCCCGGTTGTGGGCTAGATCCCTAGTGTGGGGCATGCAGGAGGCAGCCAATCAATGATTCTCTCTCATCATTTCTCTCTCTCTCTCTCTCCCTCCCTTTCTCTCTGAAATCAATAAAAATATATTTTTTAAAAAATAGTGGTTGGGAAAACCATTCTGCCAAGCTGATTGGCTTCACTTTAAGTGAATAAATACAAATCTTAAATGGCAGCTTATCATCTTACTAAGCTCCACAGGTATAATCTCATTTCCTCCTATGAGAAGACTATTTCACACCATTTTCTGCCCACATCTCCTGTCACTCAATCTCAATGAACGAGTTTGCTCCAGTCTTTTCTGAGGACTAGCAGCCACCAGGGAGGAATGCCTTCAGATTTACCACCAGAACTACAAGTCTACTTGCATCCCTCCCTTCCTCCTCTGCTTTCCTTCTTGTTACAGAGCATGAGTGTCTTCTCCTATCAGTTAAAATACACAGATTGATCTACATACTCTGTTGTAAATAAGATCTCAGAGTGGCTTACACAAGTCCCTTAGGAAAATCCTCCCCAAATAAATTTTAAGACCTTAAGTGTCAAATTAGTCATTAATTTTATCCTAAAAATATAAAAAGAGACGTTGCTAAGTCTGGTACTATCAAAGT